CTGCTATCCTAGAGCCCCCCGTCTCTCTCCTAAGAGCCTTCTTCACCGTCTGATCCCCCTTTTGTTTATGTCTTTGGGGCCAACCTCATCAAATTCAACTTGGGAGACACCTTCCTCGCCGTCTCTACCCTCAGCTTCACCTAAAAGTGTATTACTAGGGGTCCTAGGGATCCCAGGCGGGGAGTACTCTCACGAATCATCTTGCATCTCTTCCCCCTCAACCGGGGTCACTTCATCAGATGACACTTCCAATGTACCGTCTCTTCTCCGCTATCTGGAGGTTGTTTGTTTGAATCTATCCATTGTGTCTTGCATAGACACAGAGAAGGTCGTTTGGGGTGATGTACAAAATTGCTCCATGCACCCAGAGCCGGCACTCCAGTCCTAGACTAAGCCGTACCAGGAGACCGGCTGACTACAGACCTAGGCCGTGCCGTGTGTGTTGGTGATGAATCTATTTATTGAATGAAAGTATACAGAAAAAGTAAGAATGAGCTAAAGGGGGTAGAGACAGTACCTTTAGCGAAGGGTACAAGCGTTGACCGGCTGTAGGGTGGCTGAAGGTGGCCTTGCTTGTATATAGCACAAGCAGTTGCTAAACTAGTTGGGACTTGCGGAAAAGAAACGACGTATGTGTTTTTGACACAGACGGTTAGACTTTCTCACTCTAGAAAATATTGACCTTTTCTCTCTAAAAAGCTTTTGGAAACGTCAAAAATAAGGAGGGTAAAACCTATATTTATAGAGGGGTAAATAATGGGGCATTCTTGTAATTTCCCCGGAATGTGAAAAGTTAAATTTCACAGTAAAAAAAAATGGTGGAAAGATGCCACGTGGCGTGCCACGTCACATCTGTGAGAGGCAAATGTTTTTGGTAATTTTACCCATGCCACGTGGGCCATCCACCACGTGTCAGACTTAGACTAGTCCACATGGGATCGATTTCCATTTGACACGTGTCATTCCCAGAATTTGGGAGAAGAGAAAAGGCGGCCTTCTGGCCAAATCCCAAGAAAGCCGTAATCTTAGTTTTAAAAGGCGCAAGGCGCACCAAGGCTCAAGTGGTCCTTGCAGCCTAGGCGTGAGGCGCAAGACGAAGGCGCGCGCCTTTTGTATGAAAGGTGCGTGTATTTATAAATTTATTTCAAATTATTTTTTACTTTGATTGTACTTAATACCAATTATAAAGATTCATTATAAATTAAATAATGATATGTGTAAAGCTAAGGTTGTCTGAATTTGAAAAAATGTCCATCATTCTTCAATTTATAACTTAAATCTTAGTTATTTTCCTTGAGGCGCAAAGGCGCACCTTACCAAAGGCGCTTTGAGGCGTACGAGGCGCGCGCCTTCCGTAGGTGACTGAGCCTCACCTAGCTAAAGCCCATTTCCTAGGGAGCAAGGCGCCCGAGGCGCGCTTTTTAAAACCAAGGCCGTAATACGGCACAGCCCAACAGAATTAGGTTAGAGTGACCTAATGAGGGGCATATTTTCCAATGACCATGTAAATAGGGCACTTGATCTGAGAAGATCCTACTTTAATTTCCGCACCTTTTTCACATTCTCCAACACGTTCTAACTTGATCGTCGGAGGTGGAGCTCTAACTAATCGGAGTCTCCGTTGTTTTGGAGGTACAGGCACCGCCGGACCAATCTTTGAGCTGTAACTCTCCCGAGGGATAAAAACACCAAAAACATTCCTCACTCTCTCTTTAGCGCTCTGCAGACTTCATTCCATACTTGCGCGAGTCAGCTCCTCACATGCGACATCCTCATTGGTGGGCGACGACTTCTCTCACTTGCGGCACTCCCCACCTCCCCTCTAATTTCGTTTGATTAAGTTAATTTTTTGGTTTATTTCTCTATTCTATTCTTCTAGTTCATTTGTAATCATCTAATAAAACCCAACTTTGTTCAAATTTCTGATTTTTTTTTTCTATTTCTAGAATTATTTTCCAAATCTGAATTAATTTGAATACATGTAATATTTGCATCTAGTAGATATAGCTTGTTTGGGATTTTTTGTCAATTGAGGTAATTAATCGTTTCTGATTATGACAGAAGTTCAATGTTGATTTTAGCAAATTTTGATTTAATTGTTGAAAATATATAATCATCACTTGTATATTAACATCAATAATTTTGATGTATTAATAAAATATGAAATTATAATTATCACTCGTTAAAAATCCGATCCACCCGTTTCACCCGTGGATGACGGATGGATTAGATGCGGGTGATGGATTTTGCGGGTGGCGGGTGGATCGGGTGGAGCGGATGGATTGAGCATTTGAGCTAGTGGATGCGGGTGAAGCTCCATCTAACCCGAATTCGATCCGTTGCCATTCTTACCCCTGACTATATAACTCTCACTCCTTGACACACCCCTTAACCCTTCACCATGTCCCCATTTCCTAGGGACACACCAAACTCGCCTCATTTTGTCAATGGAAGTTGAGCACTTTATACCAAGGGTGAAGAGACAAAATTATGAGTCATTCCTGGGTCAATCATCACCACTACACACTTCCCTTTCACTGTACCCCTTAACTTCATGGTTTTCAGGTTGGAAATGCCCATGACGTAGCAAAATGAGACCTCCACTAGAATTTTGGTTTCCTCCTCTCCGTGTACTCCTACCTTGCCACCTTCTTCACACTCTACCTTGCTCCCGTGACCGGCGATGAGAACACTCAACTCTTTCCTTTTACAACGGTGTCCCACTCCCTACCTTTCGTCATACCAAAAATTAAGCCCTTTTGTTCTTCTCTCTTGTAAGTCCGCCTCGGTGAGCCTTGTGTTGGTGGCCCACTTCTTCCCGCGTTCGAACTACTGCCTGAACCACCTGCCATGTTGACGAACGCTTGTGACGCAGTTGTTCTCCGCAACCGCTTGTGGGCCTTTGGACGAACACTAACCCTTTACCCTTGTTGTCTATAGTTGGGTGAGGTAGTTAGAGGTTGACCTGCCCAATTCTGATACCTCCTATTCCTTGTTTTCCGTGTTCTCTCAGTTCTTCTCTTCAATAAAGCCCACCAACTCCATGACCCGCTACAAGGAATTCGGCTTTAGAGTTCTTAACTCAGTTTTAACCTCCCCTTATAATCCATTTACAAACTGGACAAAATGAAGTTCCTTTGAAATTCTGTCCAAGTGGGGGCTGCAAACTCGATGAACTTCTGGCGATACTCCTCCACGGTTCCCTCCTACACCACCGTGAACCATTGTTCGTGCTGTGTGCGGGCTTGTCACTGTCACCGAGATCCAGCCACCAAGTACTTGGCCGTTGCCTTTGCTCCCATTGAAACCACTTCAAGGTCGGACCATCAATGGCCACCACAACCGCCTCCTTCTTCTCCCTCACCGACAATTGATAAAATTCGAAAAACATCTTTGCTCTATGGATTTAATTGATGGTCCTTACCTTTAAAAACCGGCATTTCCAATTCACGGTGTTTCCACTAGCTTCCTCCGCCATCATCACCATCATGCCAGTCTTCGTGTTGCCACCATCTTCACCATCATGCCAACCCCGGGCATGCCAAAATTCCTCTCCTTCGTCGTAGTGGCACTTTGTCTTCCCCCAAACTTGACTATTCTCTCCCTCCATGTGGATTACCGGTGTTGGTCGCGGTGTTTGAGGAGGGGGTTGGTTGCCTCCCATCGGCCATCGCCTTCAATTCGTTGCTGATCTTCTTAATCTTTTCTCTGCCAATGGCTGCTTGGTTGCTTGGTGGTGGTGGTTGTTGCCATGTCTTATCGATTTTCTTCCGTTCATCCTCCATGGCGGTCCTGACCGTTATTACTACCACGCGTGTAAGCGCATCTTCCTGGGTAATTAATTTCCCGTCGATTGTGTCACATGAGTTGCTCCTCCACCGCATCTAGCCGTTGCGTGGTGTTCGACACCATGAATGTGGCTGCTCTGATACCAAGTTTGTTATGGACTAGGACTGATTAAACAGATTTACTATGATATTAGGAGAAAGATGAATATTTCAATTGATTGATTAAGTTGAAGGATTACAAAAGTAGTAGTTTGGGGCCACCAATCTCCTAGCAACTTGAGGTTGCAACTCTCTTTTGTTTTCTCACTCAATTTTTGGATGAGTTGCCAAAAGACTCTTCTCGCTAATATATTTCAAGGTTGACTGTCAAGGATACAAAAGTGACTGCCATAAAGTATTCTTGCTACCCAAGACTATTGTTTCTTAGTCCTAGCCATGAAAGGTTCTTTCTCCTAGGTTGCTTGTCTTCCCCCTAAACTTCCTTAATCTGCTTTGGCTTCTTTCTCTTTATTGGAGAAGTTTAGGTTGACTTCTTGCCCATGTGATGTTGCTTTTCCCACAGCTGCTTTCCCCTTAGCCATGGTGTCGTTGGATTTCTTGCGGGTATAAATCTGCTGATGTGAACCTGGATCCATCACAATTATGTAGAAGCATTTTTGCAAATAAAGTTCACATCTTATGTGTGATGTGTGTGCCTACACCTTATTTCTGAGATCCTTCAGCGTATTGATGTGCCTCATGTTATTCTAACCTAAGAGTAACCCTGCAATTATTGCATTTTGTCATTTAAGCCACCATTGTTGTTAGGAAAAAGGATTCATGCCTTTCTAATTCGTCATTGGACTGTCAATTTTTAAACTTGCTTTGTAATTCAGCTGTCTCAGTAGGGTTTAGTTTGCATTTGTGAAAGTACTTTCATTGTATGTAGTTGACCAAATTTACAGCTCATTATTTTCTCATCAGCTTTGTCTTTCTTTAATTGGTGATTGAGATTATACTTTCCTCTTTATTTTGGTTTTGCTTCCGAAGTTTTCATATGTAGAGAGGGTATTACCCGAGTAAAGTTTGACAGATATTAGCCTGTGTACTGTAAGGAAAATTTTCTTGGTTTACTGTATTGGGGCATACATGAGCTCTTGATCTGAATTTCGGAGTAAGTTTCACAATAATTTTGTTGGCAAGAATCTCACTAGCTTCTTCGTGTGCAACAAGTGCTGCTTGTGAAGTTTTTGCTGATGCTGGAATCTCTGCAACGCGACTATCTGGCATATAGGAGTTACTGCATCCCCTCACTGTAGGGTGAAAAAGAAAAACACCTAGATCTTTCGTACTGTTGCTAAAACACAAGTTTTCAAGTATCAGAAGTCAAGTCTATAAGTAATCACCTTGAAATGACTTCAAATTTCTAATGCAAATATTCTTTGATGTCTTTGTTTTCTCTTTTATGTTTACTATTATGAGACCTTTCAGTTGCAAATATGATGTTGTTTGGCTTAAACCAGATTTGTTGTATGGACCTTTCAACCCAATCAGAATCAATTGGACCCTTGGAAGTAAAAGTATTGTCTGGGAGTAAATAATAGCTGTAAAGTATCAATAAAAACATTAGGTAGACTTTCAAAATCATCCCTTATGTGTTGTATGCTATGTGAAATTTTGAGCTTTGATGGTCTCTACAACAATTTAAGGTAGTGACATTACAATATCTGTAATTACATACAAAATATGCTGCTGGGCTTTGTTTTATGTGTAGGTTGGAGGTATTTGTTTTGGGCACTTTGGTAGACGTGGGCTGTTCTACAGTCTTTGATGTGGCCTACTTAGCTCAAGCACCCTTGTTGGATACTCACTTGGCACAAACATTTATATGGATACTCGAAACTCTATTTTGGACAACTAAAGCCAAAAAATGGCCAAGTCTGACACTTGGAGACGCATGTCAATCAGACACCAGAATCTGGATCTAACATAGAATTGGGGTGTGCCTGTAAGTCTGGGACTTATCTCTGTAGGGGGGGGGGGGGTAGGAAGTTTGAAGATAGTTGGTATTACCATATTAGTGTGCTTTGCTTTGTAGTGAAGCTTCTGTGGTTGTTTGGATCTAATGAGGAGAGTGGTTGATAGGTCTAATGATTTTCTGTCAACACCCTTAATCATAGCCATAGCGGCCCATAGGTGTACCAGTATAGTTTTTCGTACAGAATTATTTGATTTGTTTAATTGTTTTAAAGACAAGGTTAATAGCTCTTAATGCTACTTCCCTGAGAATTCTCTTGCTACATTGTTCTTCCTAAAAAGACTAAAAAGTTGTATTGATGTACAATTAGTCATATTTTTTCTTTCAGTATTTTGCATCTGATTTTTTTTCCCTTCAATGATGCAAACTCATTTTATTCATAACGGATGTGAGCATGTGCTGAATACACCATAAAGCCTGAACTTAAAAATATCCAGATTCAGACTCTTAAGTAAAAGGTGAAGAAAACTCATAGTTTTACATGCCATATTATTAGTTTTCTCAAGCAAATGCAGGGCTAAGAACAATTACCATAACATAGCCTATGCTGGTATCTTTTGGTTGTCCTGAAATTGATCCTCCTCTCATTATACCTTTACACCGTCAACCTTATTTAACAAAGATATAGTGCATCTCAAAGACATGGTATTTGCAAGAATAATGGAGTGGTTGGATTAGGATTGGAAATTTTCTTTGCCTTTTTCTTTCTTGACCTTTGAAGACATGGGATAGAAGCCATCCCATCTATATCACAACTCATAAGCTAACTGCCCTAGTTACATGCCTGCACTTGTCCAAAGAAAATGCATAATTATTGAAGCAGCTCTTGATTTAATTTGCTAACAACAAGATTAGAATCCAAAATTGTTAGTGTAGTGTGACTTTTCAATTCTCATCACCAACAAATCCCAGATCAGACCACTGCTGTCTTGAGTAGTTAAAGAGGAACTTTACTTGAGAAGAGAATATAAAGTCCCAAAATCACTTCTGTTCACCATGGTCAAATCAATGCTAAATATGTCATTATGGATAACATTATTTTAAAAACAGGAGTTCTCCTAATCTGCTTGAGGGATTATCTTCATACTTGTTTATTTTGAATTACTCCATAATATTCCAGGCTTTGCAGCAAGTCTTAATGATGTTTTTTAGAATGTGTTTGGTTGCATTGCATTTGCTTTTGACCTGTATACCTTATGTGGAGAGATCACTGTTGCTACCTTTAAATTTCCCCCCTATTACTCTTATTACAATTGTTGTGATTTCTGTCTTGGAGTTGGAGATTATCTTCTGTCTCAAAGAGTGGACAAGCTGCAATGCCAAAATTATCCTAATTTCTAGAAGCTACCTGGATAATTTTGAATTGCTTGGGGATAATTGCCTTTTGAGGTAATTAATTTTCTTCAGTCATAGAAGTTGAATTATTGTGATGTGCAGCGTGTGGATTTGCCCCTATAGATCTTTAGATCATAATGTTACTGCATTTTTGGAGACAGGATTAGAAATCATGATGCCTTCTATCTTTATGTGGCTCCATCATTAATTTCAAATTTTACATGCATGTCGCGAAACCTATTAGCTGTGCACTCTGGTAGGCGGTAGCCTTGCTGCTCTTTCATCAAAGATAATGATTTGAAATTCAATCATGTGATTGTAGTTCCAAGTTCTAATCGGTGTTGGAAGTGGGAACACATTTTTTAAGAGCGCGGAATGATATTAAGAAAATATTGCTACTATCTGTCGTGGAAGCTTATGGGCCAATTCTGGGAAGATTTCACTTCCTTTTGAAATGATACTATGATAGGTTTATTTATTTATTTTTTATTTTTTTTATATGACCTAGACTCTGAGCATTTCCTGTATTTCCCCTACTATTTTTTTTTTCTATTTTTGACAGCTACTACCTAGACACTTAATATACTGCACTTACATTTACTCACTCTTGTGCTATGGCTTCTGAAGACATGAGACACCTCAGCTCTGCTATTTGGTACCTTCTCACATTAATCAAGCATCTGTACCGTACAACCAGCTTTCTTGCACCTTTGGGAGCAACCCTCTAGTCCTCTCTCCTTATGTTCCACTAGAGAGTGCGCGCTAGCAAATGGGTTGTGTTGTGTTGAATTCATTTTCATGTAACACTAGCCTGACCCATTTTATCAAACTAGTTAAAACCCTTGATACTAAGACCTTTAGCTGTTTAAGATTGGATTTCAAGGAACTTTTAACAATATATTAGTTTCTTTTGCTTGGTTTTGTTATATCATTTTATCTATGTTTGGCTAGCCCCTTCCTTGCTAGTATAATAAAATTTTAAAGAAATAATTATAGTATGCTAACTCATATAGTCATACCTCTATATTGTGCAACTATGTTGAAGTTTTTTATATTTTAAAAATAAGTAGGTGTACCCTTATTAGTTTTGGGTTTAAAATATCAGCTCTAAGCTGACTCAATTATCAAATGGTTAACTTGAGTGGGTTAAAAAGGCTTGGCACTGACCTACTGGTTTCGTGTAGAGGTGGCCAGTGGGCCGGGTTGGACCCAGCCCACCCTAACCCGCACGGCTGGTGGGTCACGTGGATCCGACCCGGTTTCAACCCGACACAGCCCGGCACAGCTCGGATTTAACCCGGGTTGTGTCGTGGGTCCAAAATTTTCGACACAACCCATTTCAACCCAGCTCGGTTTAACCCGTTTGATTCGACCCAACTCGCACAACCCGTTTTGACCCATTTAATTCGACACACCTAGCCCGTGAACCCACCTAACTCGACCCACCTCGCACAACCCAGCCCGCACGGCCCACCCGCATGCATGACCCACCCAACCCGCACGACCCAACCCACCTAACCCGCACGCATGACCCACCCAACCCGCACGACCCGCCCAACCCACACGGCCCGCCTAGCCTAACATCCATTATAAAAAAAAAAACGGCTAGTTTTTCAAAATTAACGGCTAGTTTTTTGTATGTACCGGCTAGTTTTTTGAGTGTATGATCATCCCTTCAATTTTCCCTATAAATACCAATTTCATTTCACTCAAATTTCCACACAACTCAAGCTTTCTTTCTCTCTTACTCAAAAATTCTTAATTATTCTCAAATTCTCAGTGTTATATAGAGTTATATTTTTGTTAAAAAAAATCTCCTTAATATTATTATTAGTATTCTTAAGATTCTAAAAAAAAAAAAAAAAGTTCTTCTCCATATTATAATTAGTAATCATAAAAAAAAAAAAAAAAAAAATGAGCTGAAGAGGAGGAATGGGAAGGAGTCAAAGTGGTGGTCGAACTGGTGGCCAAAGGAGTGGTGGTGCAAATTTTTCGTATGAAATTAATACGGAAAATTTTAACCAATTTGTCAATGAATATGGAGATTATGGTTTAGGAGATGGGCAAAATATTCAAACGTTTCCACCACAACATTTCTCCCACCAATCATCAAGTTCAACTATGCCACCTCCATCGCAACCAACATCTCAACCTTCATCTCAAGGTAATTTCTACTTAAATTTTTATTGTTATGAATATTTGAAAAAACTATTATTAATGATTACAAAGTTAGTTTAGTTTCCAATTTTCTATGATTTACAATTAGTTAATTACCATGAAAAATGCGTTTAAATAATTATAATTAAAATATTTAAAATTTAAAAGCTTATTTTCATGAATAGCGTTTAAAAATTAATTTCAATAATTTGATTTATGAAAGGTGGTGGCGGTGAAAGTAGAGGTCGAACACAATTTTCTTAGGTGTGGAAACATTTTGAACGAGTTGAGGTCACACCCCCGGGATGGCAACCCGGTCAATCAAAGAGGTTCACGTGTACATGCCTAGTTTGCAAGGCGCTAGGTGCAAATGTCAAGTCATATAGTTGGAAAACGGGAGATGGAACCGGAACCTTGAGTCGACATTTACAAAATAAACACGACTTGTTCAAAAATGGTCCCCGTCCTTCGGGGGGTGGCGTCCAAACACAATTGAGTGGATACATGAACCAACCCGGCGGAGGTACACCTTTCATTTATAATAAAGATAGAATGATTGATGAAATGAGTACTTTAGTTATTGCTAATGAATACCCTTTTAGTTACGGTGAAAATGCAAACGTTGAGCATTTTAATAAAGTTGCATTACAACCTGCATTTACTTGTGTCCCCCGAAATACCCTAAGACGTTATACACAAACTTCTTATTATAAGTATAGGAGTGGTTTGATTGAATTATTTCGTACTTTTGACGGTCGTGTTAGTTTTACAAGTGATACATGGACTTCTAGTTTTGGCGAACCTTTTCTTTGCATTATTGCTCATTGGGTGGATGATGATTGGTCTATTAAAAAACGTATACTATGTTTTCAAGCTATGGAAGAAAGTCATACCGGTTTTAACATCAAATTTCGTATTTTGGATTGTTTAAAAGAATTTCACTTGAATAATAAAGTTTTTTCTTTGTCTCTTGATAATGCAACTGCAAACACAAAGTGTATTGACTATTTGAAAAATGACTCCGAGTTGAATTTGTTGTTGGGTGGTAGTCTCTTGCATGTTAGATGTTGTGCTCATATTTTGAATTTGTCTGTTCAAGAGGGTCTCGCTGAGCTGCAACCATTGCTAAACCCAATTAGAACAGTTATAAAATGGATTAGGATTACTCAGTCAGTTAGAAGAAAGTACATAGCTATGTGTAAAGAGAGAGGTCTTAAGAAAAGACAATGGTCTATTGATACCCCTGCCCGTTGGAATTCTACTTTCAAGTTGTTGAGTGATGCTATAAAGTATCGTGACATTTTGACCCAACTTTACAATGAGACTCGTGTTGATCCTACTGAGTTAATAACCGAAAGTCATTGGACTAATGCTTCTTTTGTTCGTGATGTTTTAAATGCTTTTGATAGTGCAACTCATATTTTCTCTTATATTTATGAGTCTAACGTTCATTTAGTCATAATTGAGTGTGTTAAAGTTGTTCACACCATCGAAGAGCATATGATGATTGATGGACTTCGTCCCGTTCTTGATAGCATGAAACGTAAGGGCATACTTATTTTAGTGAATTTTCAATCATTTATGGAATTGCTGCTATTCTTGACCCCGGTGTTAAAGTTGAAGGTTTGGAAAATCTTTTAGAATTTTATTATACAAGTTTAAGTATCGATTATGATGTTAGTGAATATATTAACAAATGCAAATCTGTTTTGGGAGACCTTTATGATCATTATGCATCTATTTATGGTTTTGATCTGACAACACCAACTATTACTAGTACTTCCGATTCTAGATTTGGTTTTCTTGATAAAGTTATGAAAAAAAAACACAAAGCATCTACATCATTCTCATCATCATCTTCTTCAACACTTGCTATTAATGATTATTTGTCATATCAACATGAGACCAACAACAACTTTCAAATTATAAAATGGTGGCAAGAACATAAAAAAAGTTTTCCTATATTGGCGAGAATTGCAAAAGATATACTTGTAGTTCCCGCTTCATCCGTTGCTTCCGAGTCTGCTTTTAGTACAGGTAGAAGAGTGTTAGATGAAAAAAGATCTCGCTTAACTCCGGAAAGCATTCAAATTTGTGTTTGTAAGAAAGATTGGGATCAAGCTGAAAGAAGAACTCAAGGTTTAAAGGAAGACGAAGACGATGAAGATGATCCTGTGATGATATTGGAGTCGTCAACGGATGATGCAGCTTCCGGGGATGATGTTGCAACAAACATGGGTGGCTAGAAAAGTCTAAATCAGGTACGCTAAGAACACCGTGGGCTTTGATTCTTTCGGGATACGTAGGCAACTTATTTTTTGAAAATTACAATTTAATTGCAAAATTAAATTTTAGTTTTCTAAAGATAAGTTAGGTCCAAGCCCCCCTCCCCCCCCCTCCCCCAAATTCCAAAAGAAGTACAATATAAGAACTACGTTGGCTTTGATACCTTATTTTATAATATAAGGATACGTAGGCATCTTAATTAAGAGCAAATGAGCAAGCCATCAAATTGTTAATTTTGTAAAAATTAAAACACCACACAACCCATCCGACCCTAACCCACCCAACCCTAACCTACGAACCCACCCGACCCAAACCCACCTAACCCACGAACCCACCCGACCCAAACCCACCTAACCCACGAACCCACCCAACCCTAACCCACGACCCCACCCGACCCTAACCCACCTAACCCACAAACCCACTCGACCCTAACCCACTAACCCACCCTTCGACCCACCCTAACCCACTAACCCACCTTGACCCGTCTAACCCACGAACCCAGCTCGACCCACCCACGACCCGTCTAACCCACGAACCCAGCTTGACCCACCCACGACTCGTCTAACCCACGAACCTAACCCTGGTGTGTCCAACTTCTCCGACCCAACCCACGACCCGGCCCACCCTACCCTACGTGTGTCGTGCCGTGTGTCATGAAACTCCAACCCGCGACCCACCTAACCCTAACCCAGCTCGCACGACTCGCACGGTGGACACCTCTAGTTTCGTGTTTGGTTCATGTTGGGTCAAGGTTTGTTAGTTTTAGGTTCCACATATATGGAGTATTAATTGTGTTTGATTACAAGGTACTTTGTATGAATGTGGTAAAAATGTGGGGCTGGCTGATCTTAAAATCTTGGGAAGGTTCAGAATCTTGGCTAAGTTTGTTTTTATTTATTTATTTTTATCTCGAGCTTAGCAGAGAGGAAGGATCTAAATTTAAGGCATTATATACTTTTTTTTGTAGGCAGTAACTTGTTGGTAGGGATTTGAGATATGACATTACGGGATGTAAAAATGGAAGGATGAAAGGTGAGATGAATTTAACTGAGGAAGGATAGTTATGATTGTTTTGTTACTTAAATTACCTTATGAACGACCTTCTAATAATATCTGTCCTCTTATTCAAAATGAAAGCCAAAGGTTTTCATCTTCCTTTAACCTCCATTGTGAGAACAACTCACATTAGTAATTTCCTTAGGTTAGAGCTCAGGTCATTTATTTATTTCATACTATCTGAACTTGACAGTTGTCATAAATAGGAGTATTTATTTGCTATGTATGGAAAAGTCATAAGATTGGAGTATTTATTCGCTATGAGTAGCAAAGGGTGTAATTTTCAAAATCTCTATTCCTCTATTTTTAGTATTTAGTGATCATGGGAAGATCCTCAGATAGTTTAGCCAAAATAATGTATTTTGCACGATTTTTATGTGTGGGTGCCAATACGGAAACAACGTTCTTCCTCCTAGTGTCTAAGG